ATCATATATAAATGTCAAAATTCCAAATAAATTTGTGATGGTCATACAATTTTTTATTTAAAAAGGAAAAAGTTCAATTCTACAAATACCACCTTCATATTTATTCAATAGAATTGATTGTGTGGGGGAACATAACGATTGTGCGAGTTAATCTGTTATACTTTTTAGATTAAACTATTTTCTTAGACTGAGAATAGGGTGGGTGAAACGATGAGCTGACTCGAAAATTGAATATTTTTTATGTATTTTAAATGGCTTCGCCTGCTCGAGCTCGGCTCATAAATATTAAAAAAAAAAAGTCGTGGTTGAGCTCGTTTATTGACTTATTTTTTTTAGGCTTGTAACTGAAATATATATATCACTTGTTATTGTTTAAATATATAACTTGTGTATGAAAGTATGTATATGGGTTAAAAAGCATGATTACTTAATCGTTAATCCTCACTAAGCTGATGTACTAATTACGAGGATAATTTGTTAACTGGTCATTCATAATCTTGTGGTGGTCAAATTATAATTAATTTTTATTGGTACAAAGTGTCAGATTGGGCCTCGGTGGCATTGCAACTGTAAAAGCAATTAAAGTTGGACATATATAAATGTGTATAAATGTATAGTAAATATTGTGCCGACTATTATGGACCGGAAAATTTTATTGCAAGGGAAGGGAAAATTAAAAATAATAATAATAAGAAAATAAATAAATGGAGGATCTAACAACAAGATGGTGTTGATTGAATGTGGCCAAATTTGGTTGTCTTTTTTAGGACAAATTATATGCCTCGTTTTTTATAACGTGTATTGATTGCATCTATTGTTGGTATTAGCGTCTGCTTCCTTGTAGCAGATCACGTTCTTGTACGAGACTCCATCATGCCTCTGAATCAATGAAATATTAATAATAAATGAATAAATGAAGTTCAGTTTATATTTATTTTGGATTTTGCTTTAGTTCATACGTTAACTACAAATAGTAGTACAGTGTGCATTGTATGAGTTTCAAATTAAAGAATAAAATCTGTCACATAAAAGGAATCTACAATAGAGTGACACTTATGATTAATATATAATCAAACGATAAAGTGTAGAAGACCGATGTAATATAACAAAAAATAGTGTATTATATGTGTGTGTGTATATATATATATATATATATAAAAATCTCACATACCTTCAAAACAATTGTCTTAGAAGTGTATACAAATAAGGAAATAAAAGAGAAATATTAAAATATATTAATTAAAAGCTGCAAATGGTGGAATTTGAATTTAGTAACACCTAGTCCACCGTGCTATTGCTTTGGTTTTAATTGAAATCATCGTTCCATTATGAAAGTAAATTAGAATAGCGTTTTCAGCTCAAACGTAAAAATTACATTCATTTCAATTTCTATATTAACAAATGACGAAAACACTAACTAATTAATTGCATAACCGACATAATTTGATTATGTAAAATGCAGCAGGTTAATTATTTTAGTATTCCAACCTACCATTATCTCTAATCTTAATTTAAATGATAAAATTCTAACATCGGAATTATTTTTTTAAGTTCTTCTGTTAATGTATCACTCTCCCGATTGGATCTACTTGGGAAAGAGTTGTAAATTGATTAATTAAATATTGATATGAATGACGTCTATACCGATTAGTTCCATAGTATTGATTCTATTATTTTGCCGCCATGAATGTTCACGTGATACAAACACTATAATTGATTCTTATACGAGAAGAAACTTAGTTCACTGCCTATTAGAAATGTCCTGTTAAACGCGCTTTTTTCATTTCATTATTTTTTTAATTTTTCAAAATTTCACCTAAATTGGATCTTGCCACGGAACTCCATATATAACATAACATGGAGAGATTCATTCTGCATTTAAAATTACATAGATGAGTTATTGGGCACAATAGTAACCATATGTGTTACATAATTGATAGTTGATGAATTAATAATCGAGTGCTAATTAATATATTAAAAGTTTTTGCTAAATTAATTATTTGATTAATTAGTCAATTAAAATACAAAAATTTAACTATATTTTTTCAAAGATCTACCAAGTGAAGTTTATGAAATAACATCCATTTTTTTAAAATCCTTATTATCAAATTAGACTTATTTGAATACAACAAAAATATAAAATAAATGATTATTTTTTAAAGTAATTTATGTTACGTACTTCGGCTGTAAAAATATTTAATTAATGTCCCGTTAATTACAATGCCAAAAGTATTTTTTTCATCTCCAAGGTATCCCGAAAACAACTTTTTTTTCCCCTTTTGGAAGAATAATTTATATATCTTTTGAGAATTGTCCATTTCTTCATAGAAAAATGCTATGCATGCATAGAAAATAACAAATAAGAACAACAACAACATTAATAGAGCTGTATTAATTTACTGTTTTATTCGTTCTTATTTCTTGAAACTGCAAAGGGGAAAAAATTAAAATTAAAGAATATTTTTGTGTGGCAGGCCATGCATCTTTTGACAATTGAATGTAGATTTTTGTCCGTGCCGTGATCCATGCACAGGGTACAACACCATTTTTCACACCCACAGGCACACGCATTATTTTGTTTTTGCACTCATACATAGGTTCACATTACATACAGTGCTTTTCATGTTTCTTCACATTTGACTTTTCCTTGATTCCAGGAAGCAACAGTTAGATTTCCTTTTCATTAATTGTTTCTTTTTTTATAATTTCAATTTTTTAACCTTTAAAAAACTACTAGGCGTGTAAACGAACTCGAGTCAAACCTTAACGAGCCCGAATCAAGCTAATTGTCAGCTAAACCAACCAATGAATGAGCTCGAATTTAACTTGTTTATTAATATTATGGAGCGAGTTATAGAAAATTACATAAAATTCATATTTCCAAGCCTTAACAAGTTGAATTATAGAAAACTATATAAAAAAATTGTATAATCGAAATTTAACGAGTTGAGTTATGAAAAATTACATGAAATTCATATTTTCGAGTCTTAACGAGCTCAAACTCGATTACATAAAAAATCATATTTTTAGCTTTAACGAATAGAACAATATAAAATTATGTAAAACTTCATATATTCGAGACGTAATGAGGTCGAAGTCGTTGTGTTTATCAAACGAGTCCAGTCGAGCTCATAAAAGGTGAATTTTGCTTAACAACTCTATTGACTACTTTTAAATATGTTAATTTAATAAAATCAACGTGTACATTTTTAAAACAATAATATATGTATATATATACTTGATAAAAGTTGCATCGATCTCGATAAGTTATGCCCTATATGCACATCACACTATCTTAATTCTTGTGCTTCATTTGTTGTTCATATTTCAGGTTAAACATGGTATGTGTATATTCGGTAGGTTTTCTTACAATTTCATTGCTTTCTTAGAGTTATTTCATTTACTTGCCCATAGTTCAAAATGGGCTGCGACATATGTAGTTATAGGGCAAGAAAACTGTACCAGACAGCCTATTACAACATGGGCTTTGTCAGTGGGCTCAGTCCATTTAGCTTCAATAACCTCATTTGGGCCAAACTCATAGTTAGACAGTTTGGGGACCCTTGTCCAGCTTCATGGTCTTCCGTATATTTGCTTTTGGGCCAAGGGCTTAGTTTTAGACGGTTTTTATTATCAGGTTAATTTTTCAATGAATAAAAGAAATATTCGAATAAAATTTTATAAGTTATGAAGAAATTTCACAAAATTTCTTACTTTGCTCATTCTGAAAAAAAAAAAAACAAACAAAAAAACAAAGCTACTTTAAACGTTAAAGAGCTCAGTTGTCTTTGAAGAAATAACATGGGCCCATAAATCATAATTGATGCGTTATGGACGTTATGGTCTCATATCTACCCCAATGTATCCGTGCATATGCCTTAACTAGTGTTAATACACTAGTTTGGATAAGTAAAGTCGGTCAAATGTAACTAGTCACTAGTGAGTTCGAGTTATTTCAACTCGACTCATTTGATAAACGAGTTGAGCTCAAACTTATTTATTTAACCAGTCGTGCTCGATTCAACTCGTTAAAACTCGAGTTCGACGCGCTACTATTGATAAACAAACTGAATTCAAGCTCGTTTTTCTAATCATCAAATTAATGAACTGAGCTCAACTCGATTCAATAAAAATACTCGAGGTTGACTCAGACTTGTGTATGACAACACACTTAAAACAAAAAACTCGATATCCAACTCGCTGAGCCTCGAGCTCGATTTTCTAATATTAATGAACAAATCGAGATTTAAACTTGTTATCGACTCATTTAGTTAACTAGTTGAAATTAGCTAAACCATATAAAAGTTCACTCATACTTGTTTATGACAACTAGTGTTGTTAAATTAAAGGCTCGACTCCATTGATACACGAGCCGAGCTCGAGCTCAATTAAAACTTGTTTAGTTAATAGCTCGACTCAATAAAGCTCGTAAAGATAATTTTTATATAATTTTCTACAATTCAACTCATTAAACCTCAATATCGCACTCATTAAGGCTCTAACTCGACTCGTTATTAATAATAAATGAACCGAACTCGAATTTGAGCTTGATTTTAGACTCATATATTTAACGAGCCAAGCTCGACTCGACTTGTTAAGGGGTCGAGCTCGAACACCCTAAACTCGAGATCAACCCAACTCATGCAGGCCCTAATGACAACTCACTTTGTAAGTAAGTATAAAATCTAAAAATAATCCGATAGCTTAGCCACAAAGCACGCAGTGGGTCCCACTTAATCCATAAAGAAGTCCGTGTCCGTCAGAACTCAGCAGGAACCTTCACTCGTTTATCGTTTTACGGAGCCGACCGAAGAGAAAAAACCGGAACGGTGCAGAGGTACCCATACTTCCCAACCGTCACCCATTAACAGCCCACCACGTGTCGCGCATCCTCTCAAGCCAGCTCTTCGTAATCCAACGGCGAATTTTAAATTAAATGAAACATGAAAGAAAAAGGCCCAGTCACCTACCTGTGTATATAATATTGCATTTCACCCTCTCCAAATCTGAAGGCTAACTACTGTCCAAATTAAAGCTGTACACAGTTCAGTTTTGTGACATTTTCTCAAATTCCTTAGTTTAGAAAATCATTCAGAGGTGTGGGAATAGCAAAAAGATGGGCGCCTTAGATCATCTCTCGAACATGTTTGATTGCTCGAGCGGCCATTCTAAGCTCAAAAAGCGCAAGCAGCTCCAGGTATATTAATCTGCCCTTTAATCTTTTATTTTTGGTGAAAATTTTGTTTGAGGTTTGTATGTACCCTGTGCTTATCTACATGTACGCATCCAGTTTCTTTTAAGTTAATGTTAGGAGTAATAAAAGATCTAAGTTCAGATCTGGGATATTATGATACGAGATTCATGCTTTGTTCTTGGTGAGAAAGGCGACAACTTTAGACATTTCACCTGACAAATCGCCGTATTTAGCTCATAATTATTTGCGTTAACTTAATTTTATAGTATTTGATTATTTCTTTGATTCGTTCTGTATTTCCCAAGCACCACAGTGATTTAATAATGCTGTACTGACTGATATGCTTTATTTTATCCTGACAAGCCGCTTGGGTGCTCGTTTAGTCTAGCTTCAGCTTGTTTAAAGCTCGTTAGTTAAATTCTTAGATGGTTAAGGTTCAAACATCGGGACTTTTATGTGATTGTTTTTAGCTCGGCTCGTTAAGACTCGAACTCGTTTATTGGCTCGGCTTGGCTCAGGTCATTGATAACTCTGGCCTGCATAGTTTTTAAATCAGATATTTTGTGCAATCAATTGCTCACTTCTTGAGTTGAATAACAGGAAAGAAAAAAAAAATTGTCAGTAAAGAATAATATGCTGTATTTTGAGAAAACATGAACTTCAAACTATTCAGGAATATTCATTATTCAAGGACATCATGTAATCCCCTTTTGGACTTAAAGTCTTAATTTAGGACACAAATTCTATCAATTCACCATGAAAACAACATTTTTCATAATTTTTTATTCGTCTTTTTTTCCCCCTAATCAGACGGTGGAGATTAAGATCAAGATCGATTGCGAAGGATGTGAGAGGAAAGTGCGAAGATCGGTGGAGGGAATGAAAGGAGTGACCTCCATCGAGGTCACTCCAAAGCATAACAAGTTAACCGTGATCGGTTATGTGGATCCCGATAAGGTCGTGGCTCGAGTGGCCCACCGAACGGGAAAAAAAGCCGAGCTTTGGCCTTACGTACCGTACGATGTGGTGGCCCACCCTTACGCCCCAGGAGTTTATGACAAAAAAGCTCCTGCTGGTTATGTCAGAAATGCAGAGGACCCGCGAGTTTCACAGCTGGCTCAAGCGAGCTCGACTGAGGTTAGGTACACGACGGCCTTTAGTGACGAGAATCCCGCGGCATGTGTCGTAATGTGATTGGGTTTTAGCTTTTTTTTCTTTTTTTTTGAGAGTGGTTGTTTTTCTGTTTTTCTTTGCATGTGTTTGTTTTGTTTGTTTGCAAGTGTTGATGAGGTTGTATGGGAAGTTTGAAGTGGTTTTGTGTGGCTTTTGATATGGCTGTGTAATGAAGAATATTTTGTTGATGTCAATGGGTATATTGGTGTATGTTATGTTTTTTAGGGTTTAATGTTTTTGGTCTTGCATATCATCACTTGGGAGCAATAATGGAGTTTTTGTTTATGGCATTTGTGTATAAATTGTTCATCATTCTTATGGTGCTGTGTTGCTTTCTGTGTTTTGGACTGAGGACAGGCTAAAAGTTGGGGTGAGTGGAGGCTTTTGACAAGACATGAGAGCATGTATGTATAAAAAATTTCATTCACCTTAAAATTTAACTCAATTTTAACTCATATCTTTAATATTATCAATATAATTAAATAATACAATTCAATCATTTTTACACATCACATCTACTTTAATTCACTATTTGTCCACTCACATAGTTTTAACTAATCATCACTTCATATCATCTCTCTCTTACTTTTACATGAAATCAATTTTAATTATTTTATTTTAAATATTATTTTAATACAAATTCAAAATCACACTAACAACTAACAATATCAATATATCATCTTTTTCCAAATTAACTCCAGTTAACAAAAAAAAAAAAAAATTCTCTCTTC